CGCCCGGGCAGGGGACCCGCTTGCTTCTTGAGCATAAGAATGGCGGAAAAGATTTCCAAGTCCAATGGAAGGCAGTGTTCGCAACAAAGGGAGATGGTCCCAACAAGGTTACGAATGGAGTTCGGGTGGAGCTGACCGACAGTAATGCCAAAGTGATTCATGGCCTCGACGATAAGGGGATGGAAAGGAAGGCGCAGCCCGACAACAAGCTGCTCCCGGAATATCACGATCTCGTCCGGACCGTGCTCCCAAGGAAAGTCGCCTGAGGGTAAAATATAAGTATACTCCCCGGGCAGGTTATACTGACCGATAAAGAACCAAAGTCTCTCGGGCATCATAGTGGAAGGCCCGAACTTATCTGGAACCCGACCTCGACGGGAGGTGGATGCCAAGCTACCCGAGGTGACTCGGCCTTCGGGCTCGAACTCGAGCTCTACCTCGGGCCCCGCCTCGGACTCACTAAGGCTGTCAGGGGCAACAACTCGGTTTGTAGAACCAGCATCTGACCCCCCCTAAAAGACTATCTAAACTACCCGAGCTAGACATTGAATAAAAAAGAAGGCTGAGGACTCACCGGGGAAAAGCTACCGGACTACGAAGAACGACGCGAGCTGACAGCGTTGGACGCGAGCTCAAGGAACGAATGCTGAAGAAAGGCGAAGGAAAGTGACCAGGGGCCCCCCACTATTTATAGCCACTGTACTCGCGCATCAACGACCAAGATCAAAACCATCCAACGGCTCCCTGCAAAACCGGCTGCGCGCCCCCCTGAGGAGAAGTCAGTTTAGCGCGCATTTTCGACGTTCGAAAATTTAAAATCGTTTGGTGTCCGCGCGTGAGCTGCACGCAACTTGGGATTGACCCCTGGTCGAACCACGCCGACCCTGATTGGTTCAAAAACACAAGCAGGTAAGACCGGAGAAGCTCCAAACCAAGGCCAAAGCGTCACGAGGCAAATCCACCCGTCATCCCGTGAACTCCCCATGTTGGGTTCGGACCTCGGGCACGGGGAGTGGGGGGCAATTGATGGAGGGAGATTTGGCCCGACCCCTTGGCCACGTGACACGTGGAAGCAACCGAGAGTGACCTGGCAAAAGCGCCAGCTCGGCACGACAGCGGGCCCACAACCCGAACTTCGAGAAAAGGAGTCCCGAGCTCCCCCAAAAAAGGAATCCACGACCCGAGCTCCCCATGGAAGAACCCGAGCTCTCCCTTGGAGGTCCTGAGCCTTACAAGGAGCGCAAAGGGCAAAAACCCGAGCTGACCCACCCCAGGGCAGTTCGGGCCACACTTCTATCCGAACTCAAGACTTCACCTCGTACACCACTTCGGCTTCTAGTCGCCAGACTGAACAACCGTACTTGACGCCCAGGGAGACTGTACACGGAGACGGCGCGCCTAACTAATTAGGGGTCCGACACATGACAGCCGCCCTCAACGGCCACCTGCCACCGCCATCTCAGACGAGGTAGAATGGCCCTGACGAGGAAGACAGTGGCGGTTATGACACCCGAACTGGCAACTGGCAAAGGTTATGACACCCGAACTGGCGTCTAGCAGAGATGATGACACCCGATCTGGCGGAGGTGATGATGCCCGATCTGGTAGAGGTATGGGAGTGAGTGTACCAGGGTGATTATAAAAGGCCCCCTTCCCCCAAAGAAGGAGGTATGTGATTCTTGTGCTTTCTGGTCTTGAAGTCCCTCATTCCCCTTGCCTTCTCAAGAGCACTAACTTGAGCTTCGGAGTGTTCCAACTGGATTCCTCCCCGAAAGTCTCCAATTTCTTCCTTGTTTCAGGTACCTCCAATTCCGTCAGAGGCGAGATAACCAGCAGATAGGACCGACCGGATTGCACATCATCAAGTACCAATTGAAAATTGATTTTAATTTTCCGAACCGAATCTCGTCCTCTCAATTCATTTATCTTGCAATAGCCATGTATTTCTCAATTACTGAGATTTATTTAACAAAAAGAAAACAATTGTTGAAGTTTTTTTTTCCAATTTAAGTGAATACTATGACAAATTAGGAATACGATTTTCTTTCATATTGAAATCATGTTCGCAAAATAAAAATAATTTCGTTTAAATGAAGAATCCAATTACTGTGTGTTTTGTATAGTACGTTACATCAGAATTTCAACAAATTACATTAAAGAGGTTAATAATCTTTTTAATTTTCATTGGTTTACGTTTTATAAAGTGTATTTATTATTAAAAATATCATTGTAATGTATCGTTTTATCGCTGATTTGTTAAAGTTTGAATTATGTTATAGAAATTTATAGAAGGCACTCTGGATTTTGCCTTAAATGAGCAAATGTGGATATGTAAAATACACATTAGCATGCTCTCTTATATATATAGGCTTGCTGAAGTTTCGAGAAAATGGTTGACAACTTTCTATAAATTTTAATTAATGGCTTACGTCATTTTTTGAGGCATTCGTGAAATGAAGTGCTGATGCTACACAAACCCAGCCGCATCTTTCAAGTTTTATTTCATTTTGTTTGTTTCTCCTTTTATAAAAGCAACGCATGTGCACAAAGAGTCTTGGAATATTCATTCCCATCCAGATATGGAAGGCACCAAAATACACAATAGTTATGGTCATCGTTTTGACACAAGATATACCTCCCACTCACAGGCCACAGCCAATAATGGTAATAATGGTAGAGTTCTATTTTCTACATACTTAGGCGCTGTTTGGTACGTTTTTTTTATGGTCTCTGTCGATTATTTACAAGTCCGGTAGGTTGTGATTCGGTCTTTTTCTGTTTGGTTTGATGCACTAAAAAGATATGAAAAATTTGAATCGGGCGATTTTTGGAAAGCTTTAAATGGACTTTTTGTGTTTTTTTTTTTATTTTTTATTTTCGTGTAAAAAAATTCACGGAAAGAAATACCTTAACCAGATGGGATTCAGACTGCTCACATCTTAATGCAAAAGTTTAATACGTCTACAGAACTACCAAAAGATCTAAAAAAAATTTCCAAACAGCCCCTTAAACTATACAAGTTAGAAGTTACTAACTTGGACTACGATCAGCATATCTTTCAACCATTTCAGCACAATTTATTGTCTAACATGGGTTGCTGTCTCACGAACCCTTGGTTTCTGCTACACTTTGTGGTGCCAATCATGGGAATGTACTTAGCAGATAAAAGCAGCTCTTAGAAACGAAAATCATCAAAAAGGAGGGAAAGAAAAGAATAGAGTGAACTGCCGTCTCCTCTTCTCGTAACTTAAAGACAAGATGCACGATTAATCCTAGGAGGGAAAAAAATTCTTTTGCTTTGTAGTTTGTACTTTCGAGGACAAGTGTACAAGAACAGCATATGATACTAGGATTGAGGACCAGCGTATCATACATGGGGCCCCTAAAGAATCTTCTATGACCAGTCAACAGTGTCATTGTACTGATGCGAAGGTGCGGTAATCTTCTACGGCACAACCTGAACTGAAATACAAAATATACACACCTGCCTTGTTTTTCTTAAACAGATTATTTTCCAATAATCCATGACATGATCTAAAACGACCAATCAACCATGAAACTCGATACATGTTGATGGAGCTAATGGCTAAAGAAGACATGTACCCACCAAAAAATTTCTTCATGGGCGTCCTCTTCCCAGCAATTCCAGCATATCTTATTCCACTGATATAAGCAACCACAAATTGGTCCTCAACTTAGCACTTTCCCTCACATGATTCCCAACATTTCCATATCATTGGGTACCAAAAACCTATCCAAAGAGGTGCACAAACAAATATCTATCATCTCCCTACGAAGATTGTATGACTCGTATTGATCAACGCATGAACATCACGTCTGATCTACCACCATCAGAAGATCCCCTTCCTTTCAGAGATTCCATGTAAAGGGGGTTCGCATTGACCATGTCTGGATGGACATTTTGGGCTCCTGAAAAGTCGGGTTTCCTGGTTCCCTGTCCTGTAAACAAGGTAATGGACTTAATGCGATCTAACCCATTGAGTATGAATCCTGCTAAAGAATCCATAGATTTTTCCAATTAAATCATCGGGCGAGCAAGGTGCTCCAACTTCTCCAACTTGATGGAAGGACCACTTAGAGATGAAACAATCTACAAAGTTCTTGATAGAACAGAAAGGTGAAGAATCTGTATGCGTTGCATTCTATTGGAGATAGACATGAGATGATAAGGATTCTAAATATCACAGCAGGACGGTGTACCTCAAGGACCACTATTCAGAACAGATTCCTAGCACAGTTGCAGAAGTCACTTCAATCAAATGATAACCTCCACCATGGGGTAGCATCCCGGCCCAACGACCATAGCAACTTGCCAGATGGGGCCACACGTCTTTTCCATTTTCTCAACATTTCTATTCTAAATTTTTTACTCACAATGATAGCAACAATATTCTATCCATGTTTAGAAGGAAATAGTGCGGAAGAGTACTGAATGGAGAACTTGCCGGATCTCTTTTCCACTGTTAATTCTCAAATTCTAAACTAATGAACTAAAGCCAATGCAATACCGAGTGACAATAAGAAGATGACAGGAACCAGGATGAGCCTGGGGAAAAAGTTATTAACTTGAAGTGTATCTAACCACTGCTTGAGGAAGATAGGAACCAGGATGAGCCTGGGGAAAAAGTTATCTTAAACAACTTGCTACCTAAAGCCACATGAGATTGGAGATTCAGCCGGCCTATCAAGTGCATCCCCGATTTTTATTTTTACCCTTCTCACTCCATACACATCTATTTTTACAACAGAAATCAGTCTTTTTCTTGATGAAGATATCTTCTCATGAGTATGTCTTTAGAAATTCAATACATCAATCTGGATATTCTCGCGGCAATATTCTTAGTACTGTTAGTACACACGTGAGTGTGATAAACACAAGAAGCATGTATATATTTTAATGCAAACTTGAACCAGATGAACCCATCATTCAATTGATAAGGAATAGAAACAATAAGAAATCATAAAGGAGATTGCCGTACCTAGTGCGGTTGCAGTTTGCACGAATGAATCGATGCTGTGATATGTGGATGGCAATCTGAGCGTTTGACAGTGTGCTTATTTAATAAGAACGGCTGTTATCAATAAGAAAGAAGTAGGGATTTTTAGTGTTCAGTCCACCTCAGAATTGGGAAATTGCTTTCCCAAATGCATTTATCATAGACCTTTGGTAATTATCCACTCAATGTGAAATATAAAACAAAGAGGGGTAGATCTCTTATCTTACTGATAAGAGAATACTTAGATCTGTTATTGAAGTCAAACCATTTATAACATCACCAATTGTTTCATACAGTTTCGGAACGAATACAGTGTATGCATATACTTCCAAGAAAATAACTTCAAAATATTATTGTTTTCTTTTATTAATAAGCCCACCCATATTGAGCTTAGACTGACATTAAATGAAAGAAAGTATACGGGTAAAATACCAGCACAATAGTCTGAGACAACGTTTAACCTATATTTTATTCCAAAGGTGCCCTCCGTTGAGGTTTCTAGTGGAGAACATGAAAAGAACAATCCACGGCGACCTCTGGCCCTATTCACAATGGGTCTAAAAGATTCCCATACATGGTCCGATTTTCCGTTTCCCATTACAAAACTGTGGTTGAGATATCGAAGTAAATTTTCTTGCTTGCAAGGTAAAATAATAAAGGTCCGTTTGGTTTGTAGGAATAGGGTTCTGGAATTGGAATTGGAATGGGTTATTCTAATTCCGACTGTTTGGTTGAACAGAATTGGAATCCCATTCTTATTCCTGCTGGAATGCCATTCCTCCATTTGAAAGAATGGTCATTCCCTGGCCTTTTTTTGGGAATGGAATCCCATTCCTACTGATTTTAATTCTCATTTCCATTCTTATCTGAACCAAACAAACTATGAGAATTGACTATTCCAATTCCGATTTCGGAGGATTTCAATTCCAATTCTAAATACGAACCAAACGGATACTAAATATCTCCAACATGCACTACCCGGTAGCGGTACCTCATAAAAAAAAATAAGAAAGGTATAAGAACCTCTTGTTTTATTTGGGAAAAAGGCTAAATGTAGCCACACACAGTAGTGTTTAGAGATTACTATTAAAACGAGCTAAAATGAAAGAAGAAATAACAACTTAATTAGACCAAGGCTCCACCAAAGACAACATTTTATAATTTAAGTTCACACCAGTGCAGATAGAATGAGGAATTCTAGTAAACAAACAAGCAACTCTTAGATACCTCGCCCTACCGACAATGTGAGACCCATGAAATTCGTTTACTAGCATTCCTCTTATCTATAAATTTCATCAAAACGTACTGTTCTGGCCTTATTTTATTTGTTTATCTATTTGGAACCTGGAAGGGTGGGGTGAATTGTATCGTCTATGCAGTTTTTACTATAAATAAATTGTCTATAGCTTGATATGTACTTAATTTGTGCAAGGGACTTAAATTAAAATTAATGGCATGCTTTCGCTTAAAAAATCAATAGTGTGCTTTTCATCATCCATTTCTATATACTTCAACGTACTACCTCTAATAAATATAACCGTGGTGGAAAGGATTGTTTTTTAATTGTTGAAAATCATTTAAAATTAAATACTATGAAAAATGCATTTATAACCTTTTGTATTTGGGTATCATGTCATCCTTTACAAAGTCCATTTACCAGTAATATGTTTTTTTGACATGTATTAGACTGAGATAATTCCCTATGTGAACAAAAACGACATGTGTAGAAGAGCTAAGAATAAATAAAAAGGACATGGGCAAAAATATTAAGTAAAGATAAATGCATTAATGATTTAACAGGGGATATGACTTTAAATAAAACAGATTGGCAAAACAGGGTTCATATGGCCAACCCTATATAAACATGATGACTACAACTAAAGGAAATATTATATACTATATAAATATACAAATAATACATCTATATTATATATATAAAAAGATGGTCCACATCACATGGCCTTTCCTTTTTCCAAACCTCTTTTCCTACACTTCACTTAACCCTATCTCCATTCCACCTTCCCACCACTCCCAATTTGCCAAGTCTCAGCTTCTCTGTTTCTATTCCACCTATTCATGTTTCACATTAGTGGCGGGCATGTATAAGCATCATGATATACATGGGAAACCGAAAATCAGCATATTTGATATTAGCCAAAATGAGCATAGTTGATGGAATTCAAATTTTAAAGAGGAACGTAGATGGAAATCGAGTTTTAGAAATGACCATAGGTGATAGGTCATTAGGATTCTTAATAATCTTTCCTTCTCACAACCACCCTGTTTTTCCATTCATATAGAATCTTCTTCCACTCCAATCTATTATCTATATCGAGCATCGCACAGTCGTATTGCTCTGTTTTTGTCACCATTTGAGAGACGATTACTCGTGATAACTTTCCTCTGTTTTTGGCACAGTTCAGCAATGATTATCTATCTGGATCGAGCATGTTATCGATTCTCTAATATCAATTTTCTAACATCACTTCTCTGATTACAGTGCTCTGTTTTTACCACAGTTTGAACGGCAATAGCTTCGATGGTATGATGTATAGTGCATAGTAATTGGCCATAGAGTAGAATCGAGCAACTGCGCTGATGCTCAATGTCCACCGAGTCAAACCCTTGCTTCTTAATCACCATATAGTGCGGTTAGGATCCTTCCTGTACTCACGTTTGCCTCAAAAACAAAATCTGTGGGATTGAATCTTTTTGTCATTTTTTAACATGTTCTAAGTGGAGGTGATTTCTGAGATTGAATCTGCAAAGGTAGATTCTTGATTTATGCTTTCACTTCGGTATTTTTGTTACAATATATCTAAATATAGAAAATAATTTATCATTTTTGAACAATCAAAGGCTGGTTAGCTCCCTACATATGTTTCAACAATGCATCGGGTCAAAACCCGATTATAAGTTGTGTGAAATTCAGGTTTTTGGAAATCCATATTGACATTACGGGTGAAGAAGATAATGAAAATGGATCATGTACGTGTGAGATGACCCTTTTTCAAAACTACTTACATGTTTGATTAGTGTGAGAAGACCCTTTTTCAAAAACTTCTTTTCTTCAAAATTTCAAAATTATTTTACATGTGTGTCCCATTTCTCAAAACCACATTATATAACATGTGCTATTGTTGCCTTTAATATATTTTTGTGACAATTGTGTATCGTTTCCTTTAATTATGCATATATGAAAGGCACCTAAATTATCAAATAAATAAAAATAAATTATTGTTATTTTATTTTCATAATTTTCTTTTTATTTCATTGTTTCAGTACTCTGGCTTTAGAATAACCGTGCATCGCACGAGGACTCACTAAGCATATTTATATTATTCAATTTCTCTTTGGTAATACAGAAAAAGAAGTGAATTAAAATAGTCTCTCATGTGAACGAGATATATTCATGGTTGTAACCTGATGAGGGCGGATTTGGCCCTCCAATGACATTATGACATCTAACACTTCATGTCAATTAAGTGTAGCCTCTTGATAATTCAGACAACTCGAGCTCGCCACAAGCAGTTCACCCTCATAGCCTGACAACTTAGACAACTCGACACCGCACCGGCAGCTCACCACAGGCAACTCACCCTCATAGCCTAGCAACTTAGACAACTTGGCACTGTACCAACAGCTCGCCACTTACGGGCAACTCGCCTCCTATTCAGACCGACCACCGCATGACAACCCCGAGGAGCTCACCACCGTACCCCGCATTTTACGGGATTGTGACTTGTAACGGCTATATTAGCTCACCCACTCCCCGAGTCAGGCGGAAATGGACAACCTTACCGGTTGGTGGTTTTATCCCCACCTAACACGAAAGCAGGTCCCGTCATAACGGGAATCCAGGAACTACTCCAACAAACCTACAAGGACTCCAATATATAAAGACCTCACCCCCCCAGGGCGAAGGTGAGAGGTGATCCCTGCTCTCTAACTCTCTTGCAATCTAAGGTTATTTTCAGCTCGCAACTAAGTGCTGACTTAGCCATCGGAGTGACCCTGCCGGGTAAACACTCCCGAATTCTCTGATTCAGTTCTTGCAAGTCCCTCAGCTCCCGTCGTCTATAAATATGAACAGATCATTTCCTACGAGGATGGGTTCCTCAGTTCTCGCCATTTACAAAGAGGAATAGATCATCTCCTCCAGGGAGCAGTCGGATTGCACTACACCAATGAGCTCCACTTTAATTACTGAGTCACAGGCCACTAGAGAGCATACCAACTAACGAGGTATTTAGCCAAAAAACTGATATGTGATGATGCTCGGATCAATTAGAAGTTGGAACAAGAAGCAATGATTTAACATGGCCATCAGTCGCAATGTAGTACAGTTAGCTCATTACAAAGTAGAAGAGGCTGAAGATCAACTCCAATGTCCACCTCTGGCATTCTCCTAGAAAACTGAGTTATCGATTGGAGTAGGGTGTGGACGAATTGGTTCATCTACTTGACACGCTGTTGTGATCGCTCTTCGAGTAAACACCATAGTAGTGTGTCGGGTCAAAAAGATGAAGCTTTCCGCGTCGGCAAATTGTCTCTTGGGTCGGCGGGTTTGGTCACTTTAATTAATAATTTTAATTAACAGGTTATATTAACAGTAATTTGAATTACTGTTATTAACAGGTTACAAAACTTAATTAAACTGCATTTAATAGTAATTTAAATTTAAGTTACTGCTAATAGTATAAATTGAGGGTAATATTGAATTAACAGAATTTAACAAGTTTTATTAATAGTAATATTAACAAAGCTCAATTATTTAACACTAATATTGATAATAATTTAATATAAATAACATAAACTTTGTGCAAATTGAAATGACTATAATACACATAAGAAATTGGACACTTTCACTATAGTTGTAACTTTGACAGGTTGATTGAGATTGTTAAACTTTGAATGGGTCTGGTCCTAAAGCCGGGCTCGATATAGTTTAAATTCTTCAAATAATAAATTTAGATGCCTAAACTTGGGTTTTGGTCAGACCAATTAGATATAATGTTTTGTTTGGACTTAGTGCGGCTGGACCAATTGAAAATATTATAACACTCCTTTTACTTTAATTTCCTTAAACCCATTTTCCGTGACCTGTTTAGTGAGTTTTTTTAATTAGAATAATTAATACAAATTAATAAAAAATAACAAAGCCTAACCAACCTAAAAATAATGTTTGGATTGGACTTAAACCACTTCAGCCCAATATGTCATAACTAGCTCCTTTTGCTTCAAGCTTTACTTGGCTGTGCATTGTACGGGCTCCATTAGTATCTAATATAATACATTATCTCCTAAAATTTTTGAGTAGTAGAAGAGGCCTTTTTTTTGTTACACATTATGATGCCTTTTGTTTTTCTTTTTTGTCTTTTTTTATGATAGGTACATCAAAGAAATTCGGTTTCGGTTTGGGCAAAGACCATTCAAGCAGCTTTTACAGTCTTGCATTGAGAATATCTCCCTGCTTATGTGCTTTATTTTATGGGGAGATATTCTCAATGCAAGATTGTAAAAGACAGTTGGAATAGTGTAGGCACAGACTTGTCCTAATGGGAAGCCAATCTCTACACAAAGTGAGGTAGTGTTTCCCCAAATCCTATACCCCCAATGAAGATTTAAAATACCCGTATCATATCAGGGCCTTTCCGATACAGGTCAGGCCATGGTTTAAAGGATAATCGGGATTTAAACTGATCCCTTTGAACCAATTTTAAAAAAATAATAATAATAAATACAAAAAAAACACCGATACTGGCGTACCGGCCTGTATCACTATTTAAAACCTTATCCCTAATCCTTATGGGGGCACGACTCCAACACAAGTCTCCACTACAACCAACTAAATTAGACCTTACCAAGTTACCAGATTGGTAAATTTGACATTATGTAAACAAATGTCTAACGGTTCCATTGTTTATATCTAAATTGTGATTTAAGATTAATATCACCAACATGACAAAAACAGAGTTCCTTTTACCTTTCTAGCGATGCTACAGGATTACAGGTCATTTATACTTCTTTTTTGCATTTCCACAGTATTGAATGTCAGTAAACTTCCATAGTGGTTTTTGGTTCTTGTGTATCCGTTTTCATATTTAAAAACCTTTTTCTCTGAGTGGCTTTCAAGTAACCTGGATTTTAAGGGAGCATTCTCTTTAAATAGTTAAAATAAACTAAAAGAGGATATAAATCATACGTAAAGACAAAATGCCTTGAACAAAATTGCGGTGGGTGAACTAGCTCTGTCCTGTCTCTTGCAGTATGTTTGGTTTGAAGGAAAAAGTTAGGAAAGGAAAGGAACTTTAAAGATTTTATATGGGTTTTCCTATTTTTCCTTCAAACCAAACACAGCCCAAGGAACGAGAGTGGTTAAAAAAAAAGGAGGAATTATAATGGTTTTTCCTTCTCATGTACTATTATCAAAATTGATTATTCCCCTAAAGTATGTCTTACAGTTTTTTTCCTCTTAATAAAAATTACAATAAATTCTGCCGACCTTTATGCTCCATCCATCTGCTTTCCCTACTTAAGGTGACTTTGACACAAGTTTTTTGGGTTATACTGCTGAACTAGCTCTTTTGAGTGTTGCCAAATACCTAAACTAGCTCTTTTGAGTGTTACCTAACGCCTACATCCATCCATGACCCGATAAGGTCTTAACCCGTAAAAGAGAAACACCCGTTGAGCCATTGGTCCTGTTCTACGTGAAAAAAAACATGAGCCATTATTGTACGGACTTGGCTAGCCAGCTAGAATCCTTGGATTGTTGTTCAGGAACAAAGAAACAAATCTACAACCTCCCTGGCGTGTAAGATCGCTCGCAACAAAGAAAGGTCCAAAATGGAACTAGTGTTTATACTTGCTACAGTTCAACCGCACTATTAAGTACTTAAGTGAGAAAAAGGGGCCGTAGCAAGCTCGTGATAGTGGACTACGGCCGTTGGATTGATCATACTTTCAACTTGGCCACCCTCATGCCATATTGTAAGAGACAAAGCAGATGATACATCAGGAACGAAGATCAGCTTAGATAGTTACAAAGAAGATCGGCTTAGCTGGATTTCCATTCCTTGGTCCTTTCCCCCCTGTTTCTTTATTTAGTTGGGATTCGGTAAACCACTCAAACACTTGAAACCATTAGATCGGAATAAACGATGGGACCCACCAAATCTCGTTGCAAATTTCCAATCCAATGTTGTCAGAAGCGGTCTCTCACATGAACATGAGGCTGGTTGCAGTGTCTTTTCCTTTTTTTCACATAATGCATGCTTATCGCCTTATCGGCTTATCCTCCTCAGACCTAAGCTAAACCCATAAGTAACCACATGAGATACGAATGGATCTCTCTCATAAACCACGTGACTTTTTGCTAAAACGGGCTGCTAACTTCTTACCAATGAGAAAACAAAGCGCTTTCATTTCGCTAAGAAAAAAAAGCACACCCCATAGGTTCCGTTTGGTTTGTCGGATGGGATGAGAAAAAGGAAATATTTAAAAAATATTTTTTTTCTTTCATTTATTTTAAGGGAAATAGAGGGATAAGATGATAAAAATGTGGGATGTCAGATCCTAAAATTATAGATTTGGGGTCGTACCAAAACTGTGCGATCCTAGTGGAAAATTTTGAGAAACCACTGTAGAGAACCAGCGACGACGAACAGAGGGAGAGAACCAATGCCTTCCCTGTTACCATCGGCGATCTATTACCTCCCCTTCCCCATTCGAACCCAGAAACATAGCAGCGGTGACAAAAAACACTATTCATCGTCTTCTCAACAACGAACACAAGAAATACCAACGACGGTGACTAGGATCATTTACCCTCTAGTACCTTTCCGTTCATCATCTTCGCTTTCGACAGACGAACAACTATCTCCGGCGGCACTGTTCGCTTTTCAATGGTGACCAGTGGCACTGTTTATTGTCTTCACTTTTCGTTGGCAAATTATTGTTCGTCTTCCTCTTGGTGAAACAAAGCACCCCACTGTTCATCGTCTTCGCTTTCCGCCGGTGAACTACTGTTCGTCTTCCTCTTGATGAAATAGAACACAATTCATCGTCTTCACTTTCCTCTCAAATTTTTATACTTTCCCATCCCATCGGATCTTTTCCCATCCCACCCAAATCTTCCCCCAAACCAAACGAAACCTTATAAAATGACAGATTTTACTTCTTATTTTGTTCCTTCCTAAATAAAGTTCCTTGTTTTTCTAGGTTAATGTTTCTGTCCGCTGCATATAGGCTCTTTTCTTAATGGGCTATCTAATATCAAACCAAACAGGCTAATAACCCAACAAGAAAATCGCATGCAGACGATATTTGTTTGTTATGAAAATGACTCAATTATTAAATTTAAAAACACAAAAAAGGAAAAAAAACTATCATCAGACTGTGATTCTTTTACCTCTCATCTTGTGGTTCCGAAGGAGTTTAGTCACAACAACTGGCACCACCCCATCCCACCCTTCTCTAGTATATAAAGGACGCGCATGGCAAGCTATCATCATCACTTGCCCAGAGTCTTTCTTCTCCCTTTCTTCCCATTTCCTGGGGAGCAGCAGCTCTGCCGTTTCCCTTTGTTGGCCTTCCCATCGTCTTTCTCAGTCTAACGATCCACTTCTACTGATCATTCTTCTCGGAGGCTATCTACGATTTCCTTATTCTAAACGTACCAGTTCTCACTCACATTCCGCAGAAGGGATGGCATCCAGCTCGCTCTCCCGCAGCTCCAGCTCCACCTGGACTGCTAAGCAGAACAAATTGTTTGAGAAGGCGTTGGCCATTTATGACAAGGATACTCCTGACCGCTGGCAGAATATCGCCAAGGCCGTGGGCGGGAAAACTGTGGAAGAAGTAAAGAGGCACTATGAGATCCTGATAGAGGATCTCAACCACATCGAGTCTGGGAAAGTGCCCTTCCCCAATTACAAGATGACTGGGGGGAACAATAACAAAAGCAACGGCGTTGCCGAAGAAGAACAAAGGTAGTATTCCAAGTCCCAACACTCTCTCTTACCTTTGTTAGCACAGTGTAAGCAGTTATGAAGATGAACATACTAATCCATAATGAATTGATTTAAGCCCTCAACTTCCTTTCAGTGTTCAGAATCCATGGCTGGTCAATACAAGTGGGCCTTTTTCTTCCTTGATCCATAGGTCAGGAGAGTATTTGCTGACATCATGAGTCATCACTACACAACAGCAAGTTAAAGGTGGCAATATATGTATACTGTACAGCCATTATATCCTAACTATGACATCCTTAAAAGAATCCACATCCGTTTCGATTACAAGTGGGTTGTTTCTTTGATTCACCCACTGGTATCGTGATCTACCATCGCCTTACAGTCAAACTAAGCGGTTTGTGAGGTAGTGCTAAAGCCGGAAAACTGGATGCCCTCTTACAGTCTTACTCAAACTTTACGATCTCTATCGAACTATTCGATCTTTCCATTGGGCACAAAAAACTCAAATCCATCTCCTCTACCAGAGAACATTTAATGGACAACTATCTACCCATTCTCTCCCAAGTTCTTATCATGTTCCTAACCGAAAAGCAAGCTCACATGAAATCTAATCCAGCTGGCCCCGGCTAACCTGTACGTTTCCTGTGCCTCCAATCTCATTCCATAAGAAACTTTGATCTATGACTAAGACTACTCGCTTTCGAATTTGTGTCGTTGTGCGGGTGTGAATCTGATCCTCACTTTTCAAATTAAGCAATTCTTTTCGATTTACGGACTAAGCATTTAGCCAGCAGTTTTAACAGAAATTTTCCCAATGGTTTGGACAATTATGTTGGTGCTTGTTTTTATAGTTGAATAGAAAATTAGGGTTTGACGTTTGGTAGGGTTAATTTTCATCTCTTCCTTGCAGGCTGAAGTATCTCAGGCTTTAGTTAGATAGAATCCAGATCCACTACAATAAAGATCTACTACTCTTCTGGTTTCTGCTTTAGAGACAGGTGCAGTGTTGAAAAAAAGAATCTCCACCTGTGATTCTTCATTTTCTCCTGTTCCTCTTGACTGTTATAAATTTACTCTTCTGTTCCTATAAATGTACTGGGTAAGAGTATTAGATCTATGTCTTCTAGACCATATGTTGTTCCCACTGTAATGGATTCTTAAGTACAGAGATGGATTAATATATTTGGTCTAACAGATTAAGTATTCGTTATTCCTTAGAATCTAATAACGAAAATTGAGATTGAAATGTAGAGTCACAAGAATGCACAGAAAATAACAGCAATAGACAATAGTAATTTACAAGAGAAGAAAAAAGTAATAAATTTCACTTAGGGTTTGAAGATCTAAAACCTTGTTAATCAGGAGCTCCGTGTTTGGTCCTTTAAACGAAGGAAGAACTGAAACAGGTGCCTTGCGGAGGAAAAAGCCAACGAGCTCGAATGAAATCTTCCGTGGGAGTTGCAGAGAGAGGGAGAGAGAGAGAGAGGCCATGTTCGGAATCTGAGACCCGAAGAGATTAGGAAAGATCGAATAAACAACAACGCTGTTACGCTGGTGAGGCAAATGAGAGTGGAAGGGGCGGGAAATTTTTCCCTTTTGAAAACTTTGCAAACAAGACGGAGACGGGGTAATTTACTAATTTTTCTGCCAAGACCATTGCAAAAGCCACTCCATTTATCCTAAATTACGAGGTAGGACAACTGACAACTGTATGCGTTTCTTATGGGATTTTCGATTTTGCCATTTCGATCAAGAACTTGCAGGATTTTCTCATGTTTCCTCTTCACAAACCAGTGATTTTAATTTTCAAACTCTCATCTCTTTTTATCCAACAAAAAAAACTCACCCCAGATTTTTAACCCTATCGTACAGATGGATGAATCTCACGGTGAATCGATGTCAAATACACAGCTAGAATGCGGTTTATAGCAAAGAGATCTGCTCCTCATAAAGCGCGCCTCACTTCGGTCTCCCCATGAATAATAAATACGATTATAGATGTGCCCGATGTACGGCAGAACACGCTGTGAGGTCGGTGTGAGGCGCCTTATATTAAGCGCAGATTCGGACTCGGTTTATAGGGGCTATGGAGCTATAATTTCAGATTTATGCGGTGGAGTGGAATGTACTTCACCGAGAAAAACGATATCTGGTCTTAATACTCGCCAATAGTACTGATCGACGGTCCAAAATGTAGTGAGAGGGTTAACAACACGAAGATGAATGGTCGTATCGTAATCCCAGCTGCATATGAGCCGCGGGTGCATACGAGTACGACGTTAAGGTAGTACCAGCAACTCTTGAACGAATGGCCTGGGGATCTGCACTTAGTTCTGGTACGGCGTACGACCTATGCTGCAAAAAATCAGGGAATCATCAAAGGTTGCAGGGGAAAGAGATACAGCTTCGCAAATCGCAATCGCAATCGCAAGCTGGCATCATCTCCGTTCGTCAATTAGGGTGGGCATGAGATTTGGGATGGGACTTCGTGTTAGACTTCGTCCTCTCTCTCCAGTCTCCACTGGGGAGAATTCTCTGAAGTCTGAACGGAGACCTCCTCTATCTCCAACTTTTTTTCCCTCTCAAAATATACAAATTTCTTTTGTTAAAGGAACAAAAAAGAAAACGTTTCTAATCTTTACATACTTGAAGCAATCAAACTGAGTATAAATTAATTGTAGTGTTAATTTGAATAATTAGTGAGCGAATCGAGGACTAGGGTAGATTCCTTTGAACTGGACAACGAAGATCGACCATGGTGTTTGGAGCTACTCGTGGGGTTGCACGGATTCACGGGAGTACAGGGGCTATGAGATACAACACGAGAATGCTGCGAAGCGAAATCATAAAACATACTTCTTGACAAGAATGATGATGTTACCATCCACTTGTCCCTGGTAGCATGGTTATCTTCGTTAGGAGAATTCACCCTTAAAAGCTGTTAGATGGAGGGAACCCAAGCATGGGACAAATAGATCGTAACATCCCATCATGCTTCTGCAGTTCCGATGCCCACGCAGGCTGGCTTTAAATTAGTCCACCTAGAGGCATAGTGTAGATGATACCATTGGTTATGTGACTTTGGAGAACTCATCCCTAAGAGTTAGTTATTAGAGGGAGGGAACCCAAGCACATATATACCCCACAATAGCATCCCATTCTACCAATGTGGGATACCTCACATTTATGTTATGTGACTTTGGAGAATTCACCCCTAAAAGCTAACCGTTAGAGGGAGGGAACCCAAGAATATATATATCCCACAACAACATCCCATTCTACCGATGTGGGATACCTTGCATTAGCATCCCATGCTACCAACATGGGACAAATGGATTGTAACATCCCACCATGCTTCGACAGTCCCGGGGTCCATGTAGGCCGGCTTTGCACTAGTCCACCTAGTCCCGGTCGAACACTACAATACTGACATCACCACCTGTGCCGCACGATTGCTATTGGGAGGCATAGTGTAGGTTCTGATAACATTTGTTATGTACCTTACGAGAACTCATCTCTAAAAGCTAGTTGTTAGAGGGAGGGAATCCAAACACATATATACCTCACAGCAGCATCCCATTCTATCGATGTGGGATACCTTACATTAGCATCCCATAGTACCAACATGGGACAAATGGATCGTATGAGAGGGTAGAGTGCTTGAGTAACTGAGCAAACAGAAAACCAAATGCATACTCATATAGTTTCAGAGTCTCTCCTATCATGTTGTCGGATAGGAGGCACAGGGAATCAAGGACAACCGTGGAAACAATTGAATTGAACATAGGGAGAATCCCATCCGGATTGTCTTCTAAGGCGGTTAATCCATATTACACAACTTGAATTGTGAATATAAATTGTATGATTTGTGAGATAATCTATAATTGATCATTGACAAATTTTTTATATTTTAGGATAAAATAATTTGAAATAATGATATAAAATAATGATGTATGAATAAAATACTATGAGATAAACATAGAAATAAATACCACCTTAGTGAATTCACCCAACCGCTTTGCTCCTCATAGAGTGCACCTCACACTAACCTTACATCACCCTTATCCAACTATGTATTAGAAACATCTGCTTGTGAATAAAAATACAAAATAGGGAAATATTCCCGGTGTGAGGAGCACTTTAAGAGAAGCAGATCCAGATAGAAAGTCCTGTGTGGGTAGATGTTCTAATTTGTTGTTGATTTCCCTTGCTTTGAGAGTGTAATCGCGTGGCCCTCCGTTGCCGTTTGTCTTTGTGGGTCCTAGTAGAGGATTTATTGATAAACCAGGCACCCTTTTAATTGAAAATAGCCAAAGTTCAAATTACAAAATGCCCCATCTTCAAATACAATACAAATGCAACAGATGTGCAAAATAATAATCGAACAGGGGGGAGTGGTACTGTTATCCAGTGCTGTCAAACAGGTCGTGTGTAGGCCGGAACTAGTTAGAACCAGAACCGACTCGACATGAAATTTTGAGGATCCAGAACCAAAATTAGACTTAATCGAGTCTGTAATTTTTTGGATCTGGAACCGAACTAATCAATTCTTGGGACATTCAGGTCTGACCGGACAGATCCAATTATAATAAATAAAAAATAAATATTTATGTTTAATATTCTATATATTATACATTATATTATATATATAATTTATTATATATATATATATATATATATATATATATCGGCACTAGGTAAAACCGGTTCTGAACTGATAGCAATTGGGACCTTATATTAAGACCTGAAACCGATCCATCAGTTCTAGGAACCAAAACCGGCCCAATCTATTTAAATCTATCGGCTGAATCCGACCTATTAACAGCCCTACTGTTATCTTTTATTGCCCTTAATTAGAAACCACCAAACAAGGTATTATAACTGAATTCAAGTCTACTCTCAACAAGCCACTGCAGCCGTGCATAGGAAACATTCACTAATCCAATGGCTTAGATCTACGGCATACCACCCGGTCCTTATGGGACTAAAGTCTCATCATCTTTTGTTCTCTTGTTCTTATAGTTTGGTTTGGGCTGAGAAGCGAATCAAAAGATCCAAAACAACCATCATAAAAATACTATTAATAATCAGTGTGATATATATGGGATGCTAGGAACGTGGTCTTACATGAAAATAAAGCCATTTATCCGAATCAACTAATTGAGGTCTAGTGAAAACAATTGAACATTGTAACTCTTCTCACCATATATAACATGATGTAATAGTGTGGTATGATATATGTTTATATACGGTAGATTTTATATGCCAAATACAGTAGAAGCAACATATGGTTATGTGCTAATAAGGGTGTGAATGGACTGTTTTTGGATTGGACTCCGTATAAATTAAAATCAATTTAGATAGATTGGACAGACCAACAAGACATATTGAATTGGACCAGTGCAGATTTAATGCTCCAAAGTATCTATTGGATTGGATTGGATCTGGTCCATCCGTAATGAATTTATATTGGATTGAGTTAGATTGAGCCAATATCTAGTTCATTGATAAAAGATAAAAATATAGGTGTCAATAGACTAGGTTTGAGTTAGAACCAATATAAATTAAAACAAATTTAAACAGATTAGATGGTCTAATTGGACTATCCAAAATGGTCCAAAATATTCATTGGATTGGATTGRACATGGTCCATTTGTAATGAACTCACATTCGACTCGGTTGGATTGGACCAAACCCAATCCAACTGACATCCTTATGTGTTAAACTGCTAATAGCAAATGATTGCGAAGTGCTAACAGCAGAAGAATTCCTTTGTAAGGTTTGTGATGCAGCTGATGTGGAATAGAAAGCATTTCTAGTAGGTCTCGTGGAAAATATGAGAAAGGTATCGTTTTTGGAACAATGTGGTATAAAAATATATTAATAGAAAGAAAAATGAGTTGGCACATGGTTTAGCTTATAAAGCTTGTAACGATTGAATTTCTATCAGTTCCAATTCCCTCAAAATGGTATGGATGTATCTATGTTTAAAAGTTTAATATAATTCTCATGTTTTTCTCTTGCCAAGAAAAAGTCATGAAAACAAATGAAATTCGCAAAGGAATTTAACAGAATCTGAACCGTTTACTTGTTAAATGGTCCCTAATGTGATGAAGGTGCGGTTATGATGAAGCCAAATACGCTGCTAACAAATGCTTCCAACAAGCTTTCATATTTTTTTTTGTTATCCCATCGCATAGGTGTTGTATGCTAGATCTAGTCATTGGGTTAGTGGGGTAGTGATAGGAGAGTTTACATTGGTGCTCCACAGCATATACCAACTGTGTATTGTGTATGTCTCCCAAAACAAGTATGAGAAATGTTCCTAATGTACACTGAAATGTATATGTGGGGTGTGCTCTGTGAGGTGTTGATGTGATCCCGTGATAGGATACTCAAGAGATGCACTTGCACGCCATGTGAACCCGCCTTTTTGCAATTTTGAACCTATGTCTCCTCAAGGTCACGTATGCCTCAGACCAATTTGACATCAAGTAGATTGGCATTTACATTTTCAACTTTAACATTTAGAATTTTGGAATGATAAAAAGCTTAGCTCCTGAGCACCATAACTTTACAAAGATGGGGCTTTCTACAACGTGAATATTTTTCTTTTTATTTGTTTTTGGAATCTTCACATCAACAAAAAACAAAAAGATGTGTCTTCAATTCTGTTTTTGTTTTCAAAGAAAAAACAAATTAGTTTTATTTCAAAAAACTTTTTGAAACCATCAAAATAATGGTTTTTAAAACAAAAACAAAATTTATAATGAAATTATATGATTTATATAACATGATATTAAATAATCATATGAAAACATGTTTTTGAAAATAAAAAAAAAATCAAAAACAAAAAACATATACATAATCAATAACATTTTTTGTGATTTTGTTTTGAAAAACATTTTATTTTCAAACCAGATGTTTTTGAATCAGGCAGCAAGTAAAACAATTCGCGTCGTAGAACGCCTCCCAAGATGATCAGAACCTACCATTCAATCGGTCCCACTTTAAAGATTATTAGGACTAAAGATCTGCAAATATCCCTCTACCCCCATCAAAGAAACTTATGTTCTAATACAACATGTATGTTTTGGTAAGAAGTATTTGTATCTAATCAAAAGTTTCGATTTAACTCGATGAGAGTTATAAAAATGGTACATAATTGGAATGATCTAAATATACTTCTGCTGTTCTACATGTTGATTTATATTGATTTTATCTGTAAATGTTTTTCTGGATGCCACCTATCAAATGATGGATTCTGAAAAGTGGACTTTGAATCTTGAAAGACAAGTTATGGGTTCGTTTCCAAAATCAGAAAGGCATTGGCTGTTTGCAACAAACAGCATTCACTGTTTTTGGAGCTTTCTCTTTCTCTGCATGACACCTTATATCACTCAGTCCCTTGTTTGTCTTTTACTAAAACAATATAGTTAAAATTACTCTTTTACCCCACATCAATGGTAATGTGTTATGGATAACAAGCATTCAAACAGTACTATAAGTGTTTTTTTTTTTATTTCCATCAATTTATCACATCAGAAAAAATGAAAAACATCATCAAATCATAAACTGCAGACTGCTTTTTTAGGAGGAAAAAAAACCGTTACAACACTATCAATGCTTATGATTTGGGCTGTTGGGGGGGGGGGGGTGATCTTGTGATTTTGAATCATCCATGCATGGATCTCCTGAAAGAAAAATTCGTGTATGAATCTTGAGAATTGAGAGTATGGCATCCTAATATGTTCCATAGTCTAAGTGTACTGACTGTTACCAATACCTACTCCTTTGGGAGATGGGATCTGCTCTTCACACAGGGCGCCTCACACAACCTCACATGCACATCATATCATGCATTGGGAACATTTCCCGTATTTATAAGTTATTATTCACGGGAGATGTTCTCAATACATGGTGGATGTACCTTTGAGGTACCCCATGTGTGAGGAGCAGATCCCGTTCCCTCCCTTTGTTTTTCAACATTTTAGTACAATAATTTCAGATTTTTTCTATATTTATAGTATATAATAAAAATGTCTTATGAGAATGATTCTAGTAGGAAATTGCCTTATGAAACCCTTAATTTCCTGCATAGGGATGGCCCATCCCCAAACCATGGGATTTGATGAGAGAACTCCATTGCAACTAGCCATAGATCCTACCAAGTTCACATTGGCACCCCATAGAATGCACCCCACAGTGCCCATGTGTACATCTCAGTATGCATTGAGAACATCTTCCATCTCCTTTAGTTGTAATTGGGAGATGTTCCTAATACAAGATTGAAATATGCCGTCGGTTGCACTGTGAGGCACAGATGCGAATTCAACTGAGCAACCATCAGTTAGTTTTCCAAAGTTGTATCGATAGTAGCTACAGAAAGAGGTGCCTTAGCGTGTCTGATGATTCATGACCTCATGGCTATCCTCTCTCTCTCCTAAAACTAAGTCGAGCCCTGCAACTTCTAAAAAGTCCGAGTGTCCATAACATTGTGTCTAATCATGGGCTAGCAATTGGTGGTAATGGGCCATTATGGCCCATCTTCCCGTTGTATATAGCTGTCATTTTTTTTTTTAAATCAGTATAGCTATTAATTATGCTTGGTCTTTAGCGACTAGTGAGTCACTGGAGGGTCTTGTTCAGAAACTGGTTCTGCGCATTTGCTTATCACGCTGGAATTAGGCGTTTCTCTGGCCTAGACTAGAACCAATTGATAGCACTAGGGATGCCACGGGTCGGGTTCAACATAGGTTTGCCTCAACCTTAACCCAACTCTCCATATCCCATCCCAAAACAGATCCAACCTGACCTAAAAAGACATGATTCCTGAACCCAACCCGATAGGGTTTAACCTGATTCTAACCCGATTTGACCCGTATAATTTCAAATGTATTTTTTTAAGATATTTTGAAGACATAAAATACATTAATCTAAGTAAGAAAATTTTTTTTATAGATTCTAAGGTGTTATTTTTTTTCTATTTAAGAAAAGAAAAAAATCAAAAACAACATATAAATAAATTATAAACTTTAAGCCTATAAAGTTAGAAATCAAAAAATTGCAACAATACTTCGTATATATGCAAGTATCATGATCTAGCAGGGCAGGTCAGACAAAACCCAAACCCAACTCAGGTCAAAGAATCAAAACCCTAACCCGACCCTAAACCAAATATACTTGACCTTAACCCAACCTTATTAAGCCGGGTTTACCATTTAACCCGACCCATTGGCATCCCTAGATAGCACTAATCCAATTCATTTTAAGTCGGATCTGTTTAATCATAATACAGTTGCCCTAAAAAATGTGACCACTCGTCCACTCCATTTATGTCTAATTATAATTTATAATGTGCACATTTCTTATTTTTTATATTTAATTTCACAAATTTATGCTAGTTACCAAGCAAAAAGGCCAGTTGGCTAACTCAGTTGGTAAGTCATCTGGCTGGGTCTAGCGAAGACTTGGGATCAAATACTGTCATTACACGGATTAGGGGTAATGGGTAAGAATAAGAATGATGGACTCATGGTTCAATTTGGCAGAGGTGTATTGGTACTTAAAAACACACAGAAATACTTTTTTTTTTCAAATTTTGGTTTTTGGGGAGTAAAAAATGGTTTTTTTTTTTTAATTAAAAAGGGTGAGTTCCCGAAACACCTGTATCGTATTGAATTTTTGAACCTTGGATGGACTTTCCTTACCTTTCTCTAACTCTTTTTTCAAACCAAACACAGCCTTAGGGAGCATTTGGGACCATTGTTTGATTTAATGGTAAAATCTAAGGTTGTCAAGAGTGAAATTAAATACACCACAATATCGTTTTTTAGTTCATCAATCATCATTGATGTGTTCGGCTGATCGCAAGTGCTGCAACCACGGTCAGCAGGTGCGAGCTTAAAAAAAAAAAGTCCCCACCCCATTTCTATTTGGAGGAAGTAGATGGAAGAAGCACAAAGAGACTGATTTTACAGATGTGGACCTGTCCGTATGATTCTCAGTGGCTCAATTATTGCATTCTGCACTGATGGATTATATTTCTAGTTTCATTTCCACTGTTCCATAATGGCCCCCATTAGAGGAACATGTCACTTCATTTGCTGGCTCTTTTGGTTTTGGCTCCATCAGTTTCGCCCTTTCTCACTTCTCAGTAAAGACTCTCTTAGCTGGCTCGAGTAATCACCGAATTTGTTCACAGAAAATATATTTATCATCTAATTAATTTACACACAAAAATCTATCAAGTAATGGGTCTCATGACCTTAGCTACCAAAGGAAACACTATTCCATCCTTACCTAAAATGTGTGCCTAATATGTTCAGGCAAACAATTATTTATGAAAATAAAAGCTTGATGAAAGCTAGAAAGTAGACAAAATTCATCTCTCTTCCAACATCCAGCATGATGCAAGTAATTCTGTTCAACATATAACAAATGATTGCAACATACTTTACTTGGCCACTGTTGTTTGAAGGGGCAGAGAACTTTCAATTCCTTCAGATTCTGAATTCCTCTCAGCAACAATCTTTGACATCCCAAACATCTGGAAAAGCCCAAAATACCTCCCATCAGAAACACAGTAAATTTACCTACTTGTTGTACAAGACCAAGACCAACTGCTTACCAAATACCAACCTTCTCAATTGTCTTCTTAAAGCAAGTTTTGTGTTCATCCATAGAGGCATGAATGAATTCATCAATATGATCTCTTAAATCTTCCAGGAAACTGGCGTCTTCTGATTTCTTCCTTCTACATGAAGTGATGGCAGGTTTTGCAGAAGATGTTGGCAGGGATTCGGGTTGATTTCTTTGAGAATCCATCCTTGCGGGGTCTTGATATGCAATTTATTATTACCTTATACATCAAGTAGCAAAGTTAACTTGCTGTTTGAGAGCAAAAAGATTTACAATGTATTCATAAGGTACAGGTTTTGCATGGTCTAAGAAACAACAACTAATGCATACATCGAAGTACGGAAAAAAAAGGAGCACTGATATCTCATTTATGCATAAAATCAAGTCACCATAAATGGATATAAAGTATCAGCAAGATTTTGAATGATCATGGTCACCAAAGATGCAGAGCTTTTTTTCTTATGCTTCCTTGTTAATAGCAAAGTTAACTTGCTGTTTGAGAGCAAAAAGATTTACAAGGAGAAACAACAACTAATGCATACACCGAAGCACAGAAAAAAAATTAAAAAGGAGCACTGATGTCTCATTTATGCATAAAATCAAGTCACCATAAATGGATATCAGCAAAAAAATCAGCAAGATTTTGAATGATCAAGGTCACCAAAGATGCAGAGTTTTTTTCTTATGCTTCCTTGTTAACAGCTCAAGAAGAGTTAAATCCTGAATTTGGTAATCTTCTGCTTGGATCATCTAAAAATGAATCCCCACAATCTCCCATCTATGACCTACCTCTTTTATAGCACAAATATGAATGTTTATCAAGCTAGAACTTGAAACTATCGGATTAAAATTACTGACTGAATCAAGCAAAATGATACTGCCCAAAAGGCTATCATGTTTGAAATTATGTTTTAATTGCAGGAATTCCTTGACAAAAAACAAAATGGCTGCCCATGCATGTGGGTAATGAATAAACCATACCTCCGCAAAAGACACAATGAATAAACCATACAGATAAAAGAATCCTTCAGTGCGACCAATTATCGAACATTTAAAACGTGAGTTGAAACCAAGTGGATTCCATAAAGGGGCCTAAACTGAACCAACTAACGAGCACTAAGGAATACATCAAATCATCTATTTGGATTATGAAATCATTCCAATCACTTGTTCAAAATATCAAACACATCAAATCCTCCAAAATTAAAAACGAATAGAGAGCCTGTCATATATAAGAATATGATCTCTGAATTGATAATCCATGAACAGGACTCAGAGGGTCATAGAAACCTATCAATACACAGAAAAACAAAGAACGAAACAGTTGTTTTTTTCATCTTCAGATGATATATGATGCGTGAGATTTTACCTCGTTCTATACGTAGGAGACGAAACTGCAAAAGAAACCGTAAACTCGTTCGTTGGCTTTGCTTCCCAAAACCGCTTAAAATAACAACAAATAGCTTGGGAAGCAAGTTTGGAGAAAGGGAAGTTCTGTGTTTAGTACTTTAGTCCTAATGTCCTGCCACCAACCAACGTTGAGCCACATGAAAGATGACGTGGCTAAGGCGGTTCGGGTGGAACTATCCGTCCGGATTTCAGCCTTTCCGGGTCAACTGGAAACCCTGGTGAGTGGTGAGGCAGGCGCAAGTTCCAGTTTCTCTGGATAAGTAAATGGTGTAGTATGTACAGCTGTGACTTGAAGAGGGTTTGCGTAACATCAAGCTTCAAACAGCAGTTCCTTCTGTTTCTCTCCGATTTCCTTTTGGCTCCGGACGGAAGAGCTTACAGGAGAAGGAAAGAAAGAGAGGGAGACAGCCAGACAGAAAGATATGGCAACAGGTACTGCTTCATTCAAGGTAGCGTCCTTCGTACTTGCAACAACTCCGTAATTATATTCTGTCTGTTCTTAATATCTTATTTTGCCTCTACCAAATGTTAAAAAAAAGGAAGAAACTCAGAATATCAATTACAATGTCTATATGGCATTTTCTGCTGTAACATTTTCGTTTTGCTGAAATGATAACATTACTATATTATTCATCTTGTAATTCTTTTCTAACTTCTTGAGTTGACTGCTTTCATACTAGAACATATGGTTTAATCAATTCTCTTCGAATTTGCTTTACTGGTTAGGAATAATGAGTAGATAATTAATTTTAGCTTACTCAAATAACTGCACGATACGTACACATACCATTTGGATGAAAATTCCTTGTCACAATTTACCATTTTTCACACATCGGGTTCAAACACAACCTGTTGATAACTTCTAAAGATTGACTATCAAGAAAAAAAAAATTGCTAATTTCCAAAGATTCTATATTAGCTGAACTACTTGTCTCCATATAACAATAGAGGCAGCTAAACTCCATTCATTAGGCTCAATTTGGAAGGAATACAAATGCAAAACCTTATATTTTTATGTATTTATACTGTACAACGTGTACATATTTGTAATTGTATTCTTTCCAAACTGAGCCTTAATAATAAACTGGCATCATCAAATGCGATCACTGGTCATGAATCAACAAATTGCTGGCAATCCTGGTTGAAATGTTCCTGGCATTTACAAGAGACCTTCTTTTCAAACACGTTGGAGGGTTTCAATGGTGAAACAGATTAATGGAATGGACAACCCAGAGATTAGCATTATACAGACACTCCACCAATTTAGTTTTAGATGAGTATAATCCTCAGGTTGTAGTTTATGTATCTGCAAGACCCCAAAAGTCTTGAATGCGAATTCAATGCTAGACATGTATATTTCTAAATATTTTTTATATGATTTTCCATGAAACAGATAATCCTGGGATCCAAGTCACTGGCTCGTCGGAATATTTTAACTGAAATGGGGTATGAGTTCACAATAATGGTATGATCCCTGCATAAAATATTCCTTCTTTCCATCTCTCCAGAATCCAGAAGTTTAAAGTAGTTTATTATTTAGACTGCAGACATAGATGAGAAAGGAATTCGGAAGGAAAAGCCAGAGGAGTTAGTAATGGCTCTAGCTGAGGCAAAGGTACAAATTCTCTATTTTTACGAAGTGTTGATGATGATATTTTCAGTAATATGGGTGGACTGTGTCTTATCACTGTTGGATAGGATTCTCATGATTCTTACTTGAATTTGATTGTATTTATGCATAGGGATTTGAGAGTATTGCTTACTATTCTTTGGTCAGTAGTAGGAAAAGTAACATTTTTTTTTTCACTAAATATGCTGGATTGACTATTTCTACTACTTCCACCATATGTTTCAGATTCTGGTGTGTCTCAGTCTAGTTCTCAATACCTTAGCAAAGTATCCTTTGTTCATTTTCTTTCTCCTTTATTAGCACTTCCATGCATGGGTTATTATGTGGTTTATCTTACTCTAATTTCTGATTGTAGCATCATGACTCCAATTCAAGTCTCTTATGAATGAAAATTTCTTCTCAGGCAGATGCTATCATAGCAAGGCTTCAAACTGCTGGTTATCAAGAGAAGGACGCTGAACCAACACTCCTAATTACAGCTGACACAGTATATGCCAATTCTCTGCTGTTATTTTTCATTTTGACAATTTGTACCAAATGTAATGTAGTCTTCTGCTATCTATGTACCAAGGATACATCATATTTTTTATTGCTTTTTGGAAAGAGATGGGTTTATTCTTCCAATCTGCCCTTTGAGTATGAACAATGAGACATGAAGGTCTCAATTTTTGGTTGTAGCTCTTACCACACAGTCCAAGTTCCATATTGTTCCTCTTTTTCCTTTTCTTATCACTCACAGAAGTTGCAATTAAGAAAACAAGCTAGTTCAAAAATGTGGAACACCAATAGAGATGATTTATGCTTACATCATCCCTAGCAAGTTTATTAGCTATTACATCAGCCAAGATTCAAATTAATTTGAACAAGCTGTTCATTATGGAGTTTGGATGCAAAGATCTAGTCTCTTTAATATGATGGGACAAGATCCTGGGTCATCATGCTTCTAGATGATGGCATCTTGCAACTCAACTCAGTTTTCATCCTAACTTTTTGAGGTCAGCTACATCCCACCATTGTGCTTTATGTTTTCTGTTAAGATTCAAGTCCTTAGACCATTTCTTATCCTGTTTTTGTTGATCTTCCTCTTGGACCAAGTTACTCCTAACAAGTGCTGCCATTGGTTCATGCAAATTTTCAACTTTCTCGAACCTGGGCAGTATGTCAACTTTAGATGCAAAGGAAAAATCTCAGCTTTCAAAGAGTCAGATACCAAATCAGATTAAAATAAACCATGCTGATATTACCCCCATGATTTTTGTGAACACCTTTAATTACAAAAGGTCTTGGTGTCACAATACAACACCCATTACAATTGAGCTTTGCAGCACCTTTAATGAAAGTTTCTCTTTATCCTTCAAAAAAGAAAATGATCGATTCTACAAAAATGGGTTGTTCATGAAATGAGATTGCAAATTAGAAACTATTGACCATTGGTTGAAGTTCACAACCTTGATTGCAGTTCCTTCCAGCATCTTTTTCGTTTTTATTTTGTCCAGAAAGGAAGACTGTTTTCTGTGTTGTTTCTAGGTAGTTGTGAGAATTAGGAATAGTGGAGGAAAGGATTCAGATATCTTACCTTAGTTGAATGGAAATTTCTTCTCAGGCAAATGCCATCATTTCAAAGGTTCCAAACTTTTGATCATAAAGAGAATGATGCTGAGCCAACATTCTTAATTACTGCTGATCAAGTACACCCCAATTTCTTCTTTATTTACCCAATTTGATAAATTCTGTCTTGCCAGTGTTGCACTTTGATGGTGCGTGATCTGGTAGCTCCCTGCTGGAGGGCAACTTGGACGCCAAACTAGGTAGGTCGCTTGGTTGAGCTATATGGAAAGAGAGAAAAGATCAGAGTACCCAGGCTATTTTACCCAGTGTGGGCACTCCGATGCTTAAATTAGCAAACTGGAGTTTTCTGATAGCTAGAGAGCCTGAGTGCTAAATCATGCACGTACCTTTTCTGTGAATGGGGATGCCTTTATATAGGCTATCTGCCGTGAAGCTCACGAAGTGCGTCCAAGATCTCCGGTCCGTCGGCTCTTCCAACGTGGCGTCGTGATCCCGGGGAAGTTGGAGATGATAACCCGCTGAACGAGGAGGTCATCCGGCATGTTAGGCAGGTTGCTAGCTGAACTCGGGCCAGGTCTGCGGAAGCAGGTTGCCTCTTATGCCGACCTAATGTGTTGTCAAGTAGCACAAGCTTATATCTAGTATTATGGTGCTCCACCATATTTTTAGGTTCCAGTCAGGTGTGTAAAGTTCCAGTTCTATAAGGAGGATCAGAAACATCTTGCTTTATAAATAAGATGAATGGCAAGAGTAGCATTTATCAACCATGTGGAAAATCCTCTTTCAGCTTGACATGGGTAATTCCAAGTAAGCTTGTGCTACCTGACAACACTTATTGTGCATAGTAGTATAATAGTATGCATATTATAAATGTCTTAGTGTGTCTACTTTTTACTTTATTTTATTTCTTCAATAGACGATATTCCCATATCTGTTGCAGTTATAAGTTATAACTGCATATGCAATTCCATATCTTTGATATATATATTGGCATTGGATAGTGGACGGAGAAAAACTGTCCTACCTACTTGAAGTATTGTATAGGTCTGGTGATTCCGGTGAAAGGGTACACCAAGAAGATCTCCTTGAAGGAACTTACGAGTAGTTGATTCCACCTGCAATGCATTGTTATAGATGTTCAAAAATGTGGATTTCAACACAAATATTCCACTTACCAATTACCATATAAGTTTATGGATGCCTGATTTCTGCATGTTAGGTTGGCTTGACCTTCTTTCCCCTCCCAGGTATCCTTGATCATAGATGGCCTAATACCACACAATTTGTTGTTTATTAATATCATCTAGGATGCTATGTTCCTTGTATTCTGATTTGTTGATAAATGAAGCTTATTGAGTCTTTATTTTGGTAAAATTCATTACTTGATTGATTTGTAGGTGGTGGTCTTTGAAGGGAAAGTGAGAGAAAAACCATCCAGCAAGGAAGAAGCACGACGGTTCATCAAAGGTTTGCTGATTTTTTCTTTTCCTTTTAACTTCTTTATGTCATGATTCCTAGCTGGATATGGTTGTAATACACGTGGATTGCAGGATATTCTGGTGGTAATGCAGCAACAGTGGGATCTGTTATTGTTACCAACCTTAAGACTGGAACAAGGAAAGGAGCATGGGACAAAGCGGAGGTTATAATTTCTCATTCATTTCTATTTACCATCTTATCTAGATCATGTATCATATATGGTTACTTGAAACGAAAACGTTTGTGACTGTTTTAGGGTATTCTTAGATCGATGAGTGTACAAAAAAGATAATTTCCTGTTTTATGAAACTAATGTATAGATATACTGTTTTGTTCTGGTAACAACCTAATGAAATTTACAACTTTTTATTATGATAAAATGTGCATTTTTATTGAACATAACTTTTTATGAGGATATTCACAGTATTCTTCCAACCTTACAATGAAATTGATTAATAGATTGATAGCTATTCAATATATTAATCAATTCTGTTGTACTGTTGGAAGAATACTCTGAAACCCTTCCAATAAGTTACATAAGATGAATAAATAAGTCCATAAAATCAGGTTTATGTTTGGCGTGAGAGATCTCCTTGATGGGATTAGGGCTGCAAGCCGATCGGGTCGGATTCGGTAAATGGTATATCTGATCCAATCCAATAAAAAATCTGACCAATCCAAACCCGATAAAAATCCTTTGGATTTTCAAGAGTATGATTGGAATTTGCATTCAAATATCTTATCAGATATTCGATTTGATTAGTATTTTAATAAAAAAATTGTGATATAGTATAAACAATATATAGAATATACATATTATAATTTATAAATAATATATAATATATGATATTTCATAACTAACGGACTGAATTCGGTCATGGCAGATCAGATCGAGTTATTTCTGAATTCAATCCATTAACTAAACAGACTGACTTTTCTGGTCCGATCCAATTTGTTAGGATCAAGAGAGGTATCCAAATCTGGCTCTTATCAGATCAAATTCGGATTTGAATTCGATCTGATCCGACTTATTTTTAGCCCTAGATGGGATACAACTATTAAATGGTAGACACTGACCTAATTATTTATATATGCATCTTGTGAATCTCATAACAATAATACTGCTACAGATGAAAGAAACTATGATCTCATGAATATCCAAAACCTTGTCTAAGAAATTAAGAGATAGCTGCTTTCTTTGTAACCACACACTGCTATTTTTCTATTACATGATTACATCATTTATGATCTATTTTTTCCTAGTTTCTTTCATAGCTTTGATATCTTGCCATCTTGATAGTTACTCCCTCTTCCTCATCAAACTAGTGTTGACCATGGTTCACAATTTCAATATTGGTGGACATTTCTCCATACCGAAATTGAGAAAATTCAGGGATATATAACTTCTTTTGCTACAATATTTGAAAAACATAAAGAAGCTAAAAAGTATAATTGCACTTAAAAAACGTAGCAAGCAACTGAGAAGTTATAGTGTTGAATGGCATTTCTCCCTCTTAGTTTTTTAGCCATTTTTCTTCTATAAGAATGCCATTCACTTGCCATTTTGATTTCTATTTCTTTTGTTACTATATGTTTTGATTAGACTGAGAATCTTCTTTTGGAATTGTTTGTCCTTTTTTTATTGAATCATGGTCACATTCATAATTGTAAGTCAACTATCCAATCATAGAATTCCCATTTGTTCTTTCAAGAAAAAAAAATCAAAAATTTTCGTTGATTTTAACAAAACATTAAAAAGTTTTGGAAATATTTTAAAATTTTAAATCTTAGATATTTAATTTATCAATTGAATTCAAAATATCTCCAATATATCAGTGACATAATGGATTTGTATATGCCCTCAAGTAAAATGGGGGAGATTTCGACAAATCTTTCCAATACTGTGGACCAATTTGTTGATTATTAAGAGTTATTTAGCATTGCCAAAATCCTCATCATGGTCTCACATGGATTTTCAAGGAGTAATATATCATGTCATGCTGTGCAGGTCTATTTCCATGACATACCAGATGAAGTCATTGATAATCTGGTAAAAGTTCTGAAGGCTTGTTTTCTCCTGTTATTTGTTGTTCTTGCATTTTTCTTTTTTTAAATTTTGATTAGTCTGTTGTGTTCAGATAGAGGAAGGACTTGTCCTCAACGTTGCCGGAGGCCTGATACTTGAACATCCATTAACATTGCCTTTTGTTGAAGCTGTGGTTGGTTTTGCTTTTCTCTGCCGGTATCCTTTATCTCTTGTGGACAGTGTGCACATACAAACATCCACACACACACACACACACACACTGAAGCTTAAGACCCTCAAGAGGGGTTTCTCCCATCAGTAAAGATTTATCCTGGTTTAAGGAACAATATTACTCCACATGTATAACCTGCTTACTAATCAACCAAAATTTAGTTGGAGAGAAAACTTGCTCTAAAAATTTTTCCTGATATCATGATCCTAGGCTCGCATATGATAAGCTTCACCCCCCCCCCCCAGTGAGCTTTGGTCATTACTCATCCAAGAAGTAATTAGCCCTTCAGTTTTGTGAATCGGTGATGAGATACATAGTGGTTGTATTTAGCATTGTTTTATGTTTCTTCTGTTTTCTCAAGTCATTTGATGGCACTATGCAGGTAGGGTCTGCAGATAGTGTGATGGGACTACCCAAGTCTCTAACAGAAGAACTCATAAAAGAGGTCCTCTAGCTGTTGCATTAAAGCCTTTCAGTTTGTCTTAGGGTGTTTGAATGGTCCTCCTTGGTTATTCTACAGTTTCTACTTGCTTTAAAGGGTATTCTTGTTACACTAATTTCTCAAGCATTTAGAACGCAAGTTTAGCAGGCGACAGAGCTTCATAAAAAGATGTTAACCTATTGACTTTTATCAATTGTTTCAAACATTTGGAAAGTTAAGACCTCCTTGTTGCATCTTGACCTTTTGTGGTTTATAGTGTTCAGTGGCTGTTGAGCTATCCAGCCAGATCCAAATCGGCATCTGGATGGAGAAAATGGATTCATGAGTAGGTTGGGAACTTTGGATCCTATCCAAATGCCTCAAGGATAAATTTATACTTGGTCCACTGATAAATTCAGGCAAGTTTATAGGGTCCTATTCTAATGGAAGTTGAATCCCAACTTGATTAAGTCGAGTTTAGGTGAATCTTTACAAGGATCCAAAATAACTAAATATGGGTATGGATCAAAATTGGATTTTGGGTTAACCTGCCGCATTTCACTACGAGCTCATGCTAAATGTATGGGTCTTTAGGCTGCATTTGGCATCCTTTATTTTAATGACTTATCTCCTTTTTAAAGTTAAAATGCCCCTATGAACACAGATTTTAAGTGCAAAAAAAGAGAGAAGTCTTTAAGGAATGCCAAATGCAGCCTTAATGGTTCAGGGAAGGTGTTTCCGCATGATTATTTCATCTCACTTGGTTTTCTAGCTGCAAATAATATCCATTTGTATGGATTCAATACAGGTAAGGTGATCCAAATCCATTTATAATTGGATTGAATATGGATCCATCCCAGGGCTATAAACAGTACCCATTTATCCAAATTCGAATTTGAATTTGATTTGGCCAAAGGTGATCAATAAGCAAGTTTTTTGTTAAATTAGAGGTTGAATTAGAGCTGTACTGAATTGCACCAATACACTCGATTAATAACAATTGGGTTTGTTCTGCTATAGCGTATAGGATCCGGTTCGCAAGTGGTTCAGCATATTCAGGCAAAAGTATATAGGACTGTGGTGTACTGGTGTTGCTAGGCGTTTTATATTAAAACGGAAATAGGGATAGCAATTTTTCATACCCGACCTCCCCCGACCCGATGGGATCGGGGATGGGAATTGCTTTGGTGGGGCGGGGATGGGGTGGAGACGTGGATTAAAAGGGATATTCAACCGGGGTTGAGGTCAGGGGTGGGGAATGAAGTCTTTGTCCTGCCTCGATCCCGCTTATATATATATATCAAAATATATTTAAAATAGTATTTATATTCTTAAAATTTTATCCTCATTGGGGAATGAGGATGGAGGACAACTTTTATCCCCGATGGTGATTTGATAGGTGTCTTAATTAAAGGTGTCATTCATGTCAAAAAAAAAAATTAAAGGTTTCATTAACTGTAAAAACGTGTACAATCGGAGGGCATTTCAGGAATAATAGAGTTGAAGTAGCATTATCTAGTGTTGTCAATGGGTTGGATCTATCTGATGGACCAGAACTGACCAAACCAATTCCAACTATTCCAATTAATAATTGGGTTGATTCCGGTTCTTGCCTGTCCCAAACCAGTTCAGACCCATAACTGATTATATTATTAAATATACAATAATTCTTTTATAATTTTTTATCATATTTTTGTTTGAAATAATAATTTTGATAGATAATAAACAAAATAATACTAGTAAAATATGTAATTTATTAATGTAAAAATAATTTTAGTATTTTGTATCATTGTTATTAAAGTTATATTATCAAAATTTAAATTTTAAATAATTATTTGAATAAACAGATATGGGGATGGCAAATTTCCCCATCCTTGACAGGGACCCTTCCCCGACCCGATGGGGTCAAGGATGGGGATTGTTTTGCAGGGCGGGGATGGGGGATCGAGGTTGGGGTCAAGAATGAGGATTGAGGTCCCCGCCCCACCCGGCCCTGATTATATATATATATATATATATATGTTCTTTATATTGTATATATCAAAACATATTTAAAACATTATTTATAATTTAAATTTTTTATTTATTTTAAATAAATTTATTTTTCAAAAAAAATCTATTATCTAAAAAAAATTCGAGGATTCGGGTCCTGGCAGGGAATTCATCCCCATTGGGGATCAGGGATGGGGATTTGGTTAATTTCAAAATTGGAGGCAGGTCGTTGCCATTCCTAAACAGATAGTTTTAGTATAGCTAGGTTTATTGTGTCCTGATAGACCCAACCATTAACCGAAATGGCTCTAATTTTACCCAACTATTAGCCGAAATGGTTCTAATTTTGTCACAATTAATAATCGGTTTGGGACTGGTTATACCTAGACCCAATTCAGACCCAACCCTTAGGCAGCCTAACATTACCCCACTTATGTCCTGATTAATAATCGGTTTGGGATTTTGTCAAAATTCTTTTCGTATCACACCTTTCCGGCATTGTAGGTAATTGCTGGGAATTACAGATTTCGGTCACTAAGAGCAACTGGGCATTTATTTTGCTCTTATATTAAAAAAGGGTAAATTATAAAGACCCCCCTTCACTATGGGGTCTGTGATAAAGACCCCCTGTACTTTGTTTTGCTACAAAAACCTCCCTGTACTATGACCGTGAGACGAAGATCCCCTTCCCTTAGTTGTTGTAATATCTTTTAATCTCCATACTATCCTTAATTGGGAGAAAAACACTATTCATCTTCTCCGACTTCCCAATACACGAACAGCAACACTGGTAATTGTTGTAGTGGCGGCGGACTTCCGTTGATGTCCTCCCTCCCTCTCTCTCTCAGCAGAAGGTTGGAGACAGTAATTTGGTGTTTGCTTACATCATTCATCCTTACCAAAAGTACACTACTGCCACTCACTTTCTTTCTCACCGCATTGGCTAGTTTTCTAATTAAAAGAGCTAAAAAAAGTGAAGCCTTTCTCTGAAAATTGGTGCTGTAAACATCTGCCATGAACAGCGGTTTGAACAGGGAGATTCCAGATACTTTGGTTGTGATGATTGCAGAGAAGCAGATAATGAGAGTTGGGGAAGGCAAGGGATACCAGGAAGAGAGAAGAAAGAGAAGGAGATGGGCCCTCCAAAGCCCTCTTTTTTTGGCTTTTGGGTTCTGGTAAGAGAGACCAGACCACCTAATTTCTTGAACAATAAAAAAGAAGAGGTAAAGAAGTAGAAAAAGAAAAACAAAGCAAAGCAAAAAACAGTCGCTAAATTAGATATGTCTAAATTCTAATACTGGAATTCTGATATCATCTGTTTTGCTTGTTTTCAGCGTACAAATGATTCTTGATCCTCGTCACCAGCTGACGAGGCCTTGATCAGAATAAGCACAGTTGAACGCTGGCAAGGAGATTACGAGCATCAACTTATTTGTCCTGGCTTGATGGCAGCTGGATGCACGACTGAGCACATCCGATAAGTAAGTCAATCCAGAATTCCAAATTAGCTGCACTGGCTATATTTTGATTTTTGAGGTGAGAAAGGGGAAGGGGAAGAAGAGAGATCGAGGGAGAGAGAGAGGGAGGACTTCAACTGAAGTCCGCCGCTGCAACAGTTATCATCATTGCTGATGGTGTGTAATCCGGCTGGTCCTAGCTGTTAATGATCTTGCCTCTGAACAAAGCTATAGGGAGTCTGAAACAGAGAAGATGAGGAAGCTCCAGAGGGAACCCGGTATGAATGCTCCGAAGCTCAAGTTAGAATTCTCTCAAATGCAAGATAAAACTAGATGGCGCAAAGTTCACATACCTCGTTCCTGGGGGTAGGGAGCCTTTTATAACCACTTCGCGCACTCACTTCTAAGCTTCTGTTAGGTCGGGTATGATTACCTCTGGGCCCCTGCCAGTTCGGGTGTCATCCCCTCTGCTGGATAGAATCGCCACTGCTCTCTTTGTCGGAGCTGTCTCTGCGACTGGCAATGACGGTGGCAGGTGGCCGTTGAAGTGCGGTTGTCAAGCGTCAGATCCCAAGTCAGTCAGGTGCGCCGCCCTTGGATACGGACCTCCTCAGTGTCAGGTATGGTACGTTTGTTCAGCTCGGCGTCCTAGAGGCGAAGTGTCAGAGTGGTGAGCGAGGTGAAGTCTTGAGTTCRGATAGGGGAGTGTCCCGAACTGCCATGAGGCGGGCCGGTTCGGGTCATTGCCTTGTGTGAGGCTCAGGGCTTAAGGGAGAGTTCGGGCTCCTTGTAGGGAGTTTGGGCTCCTAGTAGAGAGTTCGGGTTCCTAGTAGGGAGTGCGGACTGCTGGTTCCTTCCTTCGGTGCTCGGGCCTTGGGTGCGCTGTTGTGCCGAGTTGTTTGCCTTTGCCACGTGTTGAGTGATTACGAGATCGGGCCAAATCTTCCTTCATCAATTGCCCCCCACTCCTCGTTCTAAGGGTCTTGCCCTGGCGCGGGAAGATCACGAGCTGGTAGTGGGTTTGTCCCGTACTTCGAATCTCGGTTGACTGATAGCGCGGGAAACGCGCCGACCTGCCCACAAATGCTGACAGACGTGGCAGCGCGCTCCTTATTTCAAAAATTCAAAAAGCGCGCTGCTGGGAGACGTGACAGCAGGCGTCTTTTCAAATTTGAAAACGTGTTGCTGCCGCCTTTAATGTGAGGAGACGTGCGCTGGCGTTCTGTCAGTTTCAAAAAGACGTGCACCGGCGCATGTCAGTTTCAGAAAGACGTGCGCCAATCACGTCTCGGTCTCAGGGGATGTGCGGTCAGCGCGACTACGGGCCGTCGGATCGGCTTTGATCTGCGTTGTTGCTTCTCGGTCACTGTGGGTATAAATAGTGGGGGACCCCAGTCGCTTTGTCACTTCTGCGTTGCCTCTTGAGCTCGCGTCCAGGTTTCAGCTCGCGTCCAGGCTTTCAGTTCGCGTTCAAGGTTTTTGCTGGTTCAAGTTCCCGTAGTCTCGTTCAAGCTTTTTTTCGGGTGAGTACCTTCCTGGAATCCACCTTCTCTCCTCGATGTCTAGCTCGGATAGCTCAGACGGTTCTTCAAGTGGGTCAGATGCAGGTTCCACG